GGCAGCGAAGCCTTTAGACTCATCTCTCCAGCTCGATCCTGGTTTTCGACCACTCGCCGAATCGTTTAAGTTGTGCCCGATGTGGCAGAGCTTTAGGGCCCAGCGGAGGGCGCGGCAAGAAGTCGCTGGCACGACTTCCGCTGGTCCATGCCTTGACCCGAGGCATGGCTTTGAGGCTCAGAGCAGGGTCCTCGTTGCAATTTGCAACCGGTTTCGAGAGGCTGCATCCTGTCATCAAGACAGAAACAGCAGCTTGCACCATCTTCTGCAGCCTCTTAGACCAGCTAACACGAAGGACCCCCGAAAAGGCCCATCGTGTGTGCCTATGGGTTGTTCAGTCACTCTCGGCACGGCTCTGCTTCGATTGTTTGCTTCGTTCTTGTCGGAATGCAGCTGGCATCTCCGCTGTCTCGCTGAAAAAACAAGACTCTTCGGAGGGCATCGCAGGCTTCGAAGGCACTAATGTAGGAACCTGATTAAGACACCCTGGCCCTATAACCCCAATATATCGGGGCTCATATTAGGAACCCCAATAAAGGTTCAGGATTTCTGAATCAGGTTCCTACATTAGAGCCTGAAGCAGAACGAGGGGATGATGAGAGCAGTGGAGCGGTTTAGCCATGCTCAGGCGCGCTGCCGAGTACGGCTTGCCCCAGGCGTGGCCAGCAACGTGATTCGTTCATTACAACACTTGAGGATTTCGGGCTTGATGAACACTTCTACTTTTGCAGGAATCATCGCTGTCTGGGCCTCTATCTCGTGCGAGCAGCAGGCATTGCGGCAGGGAAGAGTCAAAGGGGCAGGAAGCTCTGGAGCCAGCAACCGTTGGCTTTGGCATGCCTTGGTCAGGGCAGAGGACATCACTGCCATCTCCTCTTCGGACTCAGCCGAGCGCCGGTCTCCCAAAACAGGGATCCAGAGCGTCGCGGCTCTTTTAGGCTTGACAGGGAACTGTGCAAATCCAAGGCCGGCCGCTTCGAAGGCGGAGCGGGCGCGGGCTGCTGAGAGGCTTACGACCTCTTACGCCGGCGGTGCTGGCGCTTCCGGTGGAGCCGAGCCGACCACCCAACGAGGTGGACGAGCTCGTGGCGGAACTGGCCGAAGCACAGGAGCTCCAGAAGAAGATGTCGCAGCTCCTTAGCATGGTGTCGCAGGGTGAGCAGGTCGTGGAAGTCGAGGAAGTGGAGGCGGTGGAGGCGGTGGATGACGACGGTGCTGTGGTAATGCTCGACGCTCTGCAGCCCGAGGATCGCAGTCCGGCCAAGGTGCCCAGCCCGGAGAAAGCGACGCTCACGGAGGGCCCAGCCGATGCAGATCCGCCCCACAGTCTTGAAGATCCTCCGCAAGAGCCTGCCAGCGACGGCTTGGAGTTCGAAGGCTCCGAGTCCGAGGACGCGAAGCGAACTAAAGCTAAGATGCAAGTTCTTGTTGCTCTTGTCGTGGAATCATAGCCAGTATGTGGTCGGTAGGGGTTCGGGGGTGTGGCTGTTGAAGCACTGGTAAGAAAATGGCCACTTCTATCATGATCGGTTGTCTTACTGCTTTAACTGCTACCATGTACTGTCGCTGCCACAACTGCCCCCTCCTACTGCTACGACGACGACAGCGATTACCACTACCGATGAAGGAGTCATTGCAGTCTCGCCCGAAATGTGTGAAGGAGGCCGCCCCGTAGACCCCGATATACGTAGGTTTGTGTGTGTGTGTGTGTAAATGATACCGGTATATATATATATATATTTATTTGTTTCTATTTGTATTTATATTTTTAGATGTGCTTGGGTTGCCAGCTTTCTGCCCGGCTATACGTGGCGGGGAGTCAGCCTCTATATGTAGGGGTGTCTGACGTGCGTGCGTCACTACGGTGACCGGGCTCAACGCCTGACTTGACTGACTGTCCTTGTTCACGGAATTTCTTTGGTGTAGAGCGAAACAAATCTACCGTTGCCCTACCACGCCACGACAACGGCGACGACGACGGGACGACGAGGACGACTAGTTGCTTCGTTGCCGTTGCTGCGATGATGAATACCTGACTCAGCTCCACTGATGACGACTGCTGGCTTGTCCAGACGCATCCTTGTCCAGCCAATTTATTGATACGCTTGGACCATGCCCGAAGCACCGGAGTAGAACACAGCACGTGCTACTGATTCCAACTTTCCGAACTTCAATTTGAAGGCCACAAACGGCGGGGAACCCAGCCTTCGTGCTGGCACTGATGTGATCGGTAGCCCTCGATGCCTCACGAATCCTGGCTGAGTGGGAAATCTAGTTCTACGTCGGGGTGGTACGAGTATACTCGGATGTAAGACACGTGGCTGGCTGTTCTTGAAGGGCTCGGTACCCCTGCCACACGCATTATCCTTACCCATGGCGACCATAGCTATTGAAATGCTTATGCTCGTACTGGATTGCTAGTAATTCGAACTACTATTCTGCCCTGGTGCTGTTTGAAGGGGGGGGAGTCGCGAGGAGGGTCCGGTTCTTCCACCCAACGAGGCGGACGGGCTGGTGGCGGAACTGGCCGAGGTTCAGGAGCTGCAGAAGAAGATGTCTCAGCTGCTGAAAAAGGTGGCTCAACGGGGTGAGCGCAAGGTAGAGGAAGCTGAGGCGGTGGAGGATGACGTGGCGCAGATGCCCACAGAGGGCCCATCCGACTTCGCAGACCGTCAAGACCTTCCTGAAGACCCTCTGCAAGAGGCTGCCAGCGACGGCTTGGAGTTTGAAGGCTCCGAGTCCGAGGACCCGCAGCGTTCTTGTCGCTGTTCCCGATTCTGTGTTTTCGCTGCGTCACACAATCCTAAGTACAAAAACGGACGGTAAGGTAACTCTTTTTAGTTAGAGCTGTGTGATCATTACTCTGCAAACTTCGTTCCGTGAGACTCTTCAGCGAGGAGGGGCCCGTGTTTCGGGGCAGTCCCATGGAGGCCGCTTTCTGGGTTCTTGTTGTTAAACGATTTAATGTAAGTTACTATAATAGTGAAACCCAGCTATTTAATTAATATACTATAGATTCCTATTCTGGCAACTTAAATTAAATCCCTTAACAGCAACCCAGTTTTCCCTGCCAGCTTGTTTCTTTTCTTGCTTGCCTTGCTACCTCCAGCAGTCTCCAGCGTATTCGTCTTCTTCCCGATTCGTCTCTACTATAGCAGCCTAAATAATTACCTAGACTATGTTGGGGGTTCGTTCTTATAATTACGGAAAATATAGCCCAAAACCCCATTCGAATTAGAAAGGCCCCTGCATTAAGCAAGTGGAGGTTGCCATGGGTGGCCTCACCCACGAATGGCGACAGAAGCTTCGCCAGGGCCTGTCCGAGGCACACGGATGCTGGAATTTGGTTAAGACCCTAAGCCCTAAACCCTAAAATCCTTAAAGAAGTCAGAGGCAGCCACGGGAGTGGGAGTTGTGTGAAGACCGCCACTGCTTTGGCGCCAGGCTTTGCTGTCAAATCTGGACTGGATTGAGCAGGCAAAGTCAAGGAGGGGACGTTTCGCGCAGTCTTTGGGTTGACAAAGAGGCCTTGCCAGAAGAAGATGAGCGACCGGCACCCACAACGGCAGTGCAACAGCAGTACCCTAGGTATAGCTCAGAGCGCCAGTTGTAAATCACAGTGCATGTCAGCCTGTGTCGTGGGACCGCACCGGCCCTTTGATCTTGCATTGTTTCCTCGTGCATTGAAAACGGGCGTGCAACAGTAAAGCAGCATCCCGTAACAAGTTGACGCTTCGCTGCGTCAGGAGCATCTTTCGCGTCCCACCACTGCATGCAGCAGAGAAGCGTCAACCAGCAGAGGTGGGATTTTGCATTGACGATGGGGCTCGAGTTTGGGAGTTAGGATTAGGGGGACGCTTGGGGATATAGACCCTCTCAATAAGGTCCCTTTTAAGAGAGCCAGAAGGGTTAAGAAGCGTCCCCTTTCATACTACGACCGAGAGTTGTGCCGTCCTTCGAGCACTGGAGCTCCCAGCCAGGAGCTCTCTTTGAGTGATGTCGAAGGCCAGGGAGAAGCATCTCAGCTACAGACTGTCATAGTGGTGCTGCAGATGTTCCATGAAAGTGCATCATTTGGCCTCATGTCCGTGGCACATCCTTCTCGAGCCGGCGGGCCGGCATGAATGGGTTTAGTTAGGTCCAGGCAATTCTCGACCTCCGCGCAATGTCTATGGCATTCCTACAGTGCGAAGCAGGCACGGGGGGAGTGGACCTAGAAGACAGGTTCAGAGCTCTCGAGATGATGTTGACCACAGAGATGGAGACTGGGCTTGTGTTAGGGAACTTCATGAATCTTTAAGAGGACCATAATAAGGAAACCCTATGATCTACTCTAGATCCCTATCCATACTTCAGCTCCCCAACTATGAACTAAGAGCCCAGGAGATGGCCGTGCAGCCGCTTCGGGATCGTGTGCAGATCCTCGAAGAGAAGCTGGGCCTGGCGGAGAACCTGAGTGAGACCGACGGCTTGTCGGTGTCGGTTCAGGTCACCCTGGCCTCGCCGAAAAACATGCATGAAGTCATTTCCTTGAAGGACGAGCCCACGGAGAAGAGTCGACCAAGCTATCTCAAGGTTCGTTCCGTGGATTCCCAAGATGTGGACGCTGTCACCGAAGATGACATGCAGGTGACCTTTAACCGTGACATCTGGACCTACTTTGCGCTTGTTGGCCTCGGGAAGATTGGCAGCTGGGACGCGTGCTTCACCTTCATTCTGGCATTGGTGAGCTTAGCCATGCAGGCGGCGTTCATCATGATTTTGATGTCCGAGTTCTTCCTGGAGCGACCTTTTGAGGAAAATGTGGAACTTGCCAGAATCTGGCGCACCAGCGTGGCCCACGACTCGAGGCACATGGACCTCGCCCAGACTAGTCTCACCTCGCGCGTCTGCCGAGGGGACGGTGCTCTCATCGTTTCCACGACCCAAGCAGAGCTCGTGGAGGAGATCTGGGTTTAGGCCTCGACGAGTTTGAACCGAGCTCATTCAGTCCAGGCACGATGCTTTCGGTTCTTTGCATCCTCCTGTGGAGCATGCGCGTGTACAAGGACCTCAGGCGCATGGGACTGCTCATGGAGGCTTGGTCGTGGATTCCACGATCCGACTACACCATTATGAATGAGAATTTTGGCTTCACCGAACTCTCCGAGAACCGCTTCTATGGCTTCGGATCCATTTTGTTCGTGTGCTTTGCCATGGACTGCCTCTTGCTGGTGGCCGGGATCCGTCCTATCTCATCGTTGATACTCGATGCGGTCGCGCTCGAGGCCATCTTGGACATCGACGACTTTATGTTTCATGCCCTGGCGCCCTTGAGAGCCAGATTGCTTATCCAGGGTTTAGAGCCCATGATGGTGAAAATCAATCAGGCCAGAAGCCAAGTCGAGTCCGGATGGAACTTCTGCCTTCTCGCCTCTGCTCTTGTGCTGCCCTACCTCTTCATGCTGGCCCCACTTGGCCTCTCCATGCGAGCGGTGAAGTACGAGCTTTGTGGTGGAACCCAGGAGTTCGTCGTAGCTTACAATCAGGACATCCAGATGACCTATGCATTACGGACGCAGGCGGAGAGAGGCCTAGAGCTTCTTCCCAGCGAAGTGGCCGTGGAGGAGTTTAAGCACAGTTCCGAAGCACTTCCTCGATACATGGTCTTCTCGCCGACCTCGCAGGCCTTCGATACAGACCAGGTCCGAACAATGGCCGAGGAGGCTTCAACTTTCCCCATCTGCTTCGAGACCCAGGTCCTGCAAGAGACAGGTCGAGTCTACCAGGATCCTGTGGCCACGTCGCTGATCGAGCCACGCTTTCAGTCCATGGTAGCGACATTCGGCCGCAATGCAACTACCTGTGAGGAGATGCAGGACCTCTGCTACTTGCCAGAGGCGCGGATGCTGCGTTACCTTTGTGGTGCGACTTGCGGCTGTGCTTCCGCCGGATCCTCGACCTGGTACAAGGTTGCTCGGCAAGGGTGTTCCGAAAGCTGTCTGAAAGAGGCTGAGGCTGCGACGGCCTGTGTGGATGTCGCGGCCACATCCGAAGAATGGCGATCGTTTTGGATCAACTACGTGCCGGTCGTGTCGTCCTTCTTCGGTCAGAATCTAGCTCAAGCAAACATGCTGACGATGCTGAATCAGACCGTACAAGCTATGTTGAGTGAGGGTTGTCCCAGGCTTCTAGTCAACGACACCGATTTTGTCACTTCCGTAAAATGGTGCGAGGGCTTTCCAGACCTTTTCCGACCAGTCGCCTTCTTGTGCCCGGAAACTTGCGGATGCAAAGCATCTCTCTCGGGGTATTGTCCGTCCAGCTGCCTTTCCGATGACGTGCACAGCTCGACAAACTCGAGCAATGCATCCTTTGTTCCGTGAAGAAGGCCGTCGGTGCAAAGCAGTTCCCTTTGCGAGCCTGAGGATTATACACCCGGTCATGATTACCCTTCTGGAGCTTCAGCCCTAAAGGCCCTAAACCCTAAACCGGTCAGCACCATGGGACATCCTCAGGCTTGGGGCCAAATCTGCCGGCTTTACCCCCGCCTTTGTCTCACAGTCCGGTTCCGGTCTCATGTCTTGGCATGATGAACCGCACAATTTCTCAAAGATTGTCGATTGAAACACGCCTTCTAGTGCATCCGGGCTGCAACTGCTGGTTTGGAAGGTCGGGGGCACGAGTTGGAGTCTAAAGGCTCTAGCATGGTCGGAGGTCTCCTCGAAGCACATGCGGCGCCCGACAACTCCCAGGACTGTTGTGCACTGGTTTAGTTGGTTCCTCTTGGTTCGTTTTTGTGCGACCCAACAGTCAGTGCAGGAAATACCAAAGCCGACGGGCGAGGCCACAGATTCTGGCGACAGAACCGAGATGAACCGAGTGTAGTACAGCCAACCTCGTGCCGCCTGCCATAGGTAGCGCACCTGCTGTCGGAGCTGGCTAAAGGCGCATAGCTGCACGCCCGATGCTTCACAGCTTTGAAATGGAGTCACTCCTAGGGCCAACGCAGCCTTTTGCCTAGATCTTGCTAGTTCCAGTGACAGTTGGATTGTGGGATGTCGGGCTGTCGCGACCCACTCGGAGCCTGGACCCGTACCCTGTTGGGGAGCTCGCAGGTGGCGATGAAGTCCACGCCGAAGACTACTGGGTCGGAGACCCGAGCCTTGCCCGTTGCTGCAGTGATGCCTTCGCTTTGCTGGAGGTTCGCGGAGTCGACCACTCAGCGTTCTGGTGGTCTTTGCTTGAGCTGCGGTCCTAGACGAAAATGTTTAAACTCAGGAGTGGGATGTCGACGGACTGCGTGATGATGCAATTGGCTTAGTCATTGTCGAATTCGTTTGTGGCGTCAACTCGCAGCATTCGCACGTTTGATGACATGCCCTTCGCGACAGTTTCAGGCCCTGGAGAGTGCGCCCATCGAAGTTTCTGCAGACACATCTCTCGACGATCTAAGACCTCCAGCACAAGCAGAGACAGTAGTGCACGGTCGTCGCTACGTTCACCCGGCATGTGGAAAGCTTGGCGAGACGTTGAAAGTGCCACAGGCAGATAAGGCAGTTCCTACAGTAGTGATTAGTGAGCAACCCCATATTGGCGATCCTTGGTATTTGCCAAGTGGTCGCCTACTGCAAGAGATGGTTTTCCCCTCCCAGGTGGCTTTGGTCCAACTGGAACTGAAGGTCAAGCAGGCTGCGATTGGAGTCCATTTGAACGCCGTCCAATGCTTCGTAACTTGGTGGAAGTCTTACGTCCGAGTCGCAAGAGTCCAAACCGGCCCGCCAGAGCCGAAAAAGCCCGACAGAAAGGCGACAAAAATAACAAAAGACACCGTGGTTTCGCAGGAAAGGCCGAAAGATCCTGGGGAGCCAGACCCGGCAGCCGGCTTAGCGGCGGCTTGCTTCTCAGCTCGGCGTCGATAGGAGCAACAATTCTGCATGGCGAAGTTAGTTAACAGCAGCTGCAACTGCATCTGCTCATCGTTGTTTTACTAGAGCCAGAGCCAGGTCTGTTGAGGTCGTGTCAGGGGTTGCCCTGTTTTACCAGATCCCAGGCTTGGACTTCAGGTTTTGGTATGGGGTCCGTTTAGATGCCTCCAAGACGCGGTCGGCGTTGAACGTCTGATCACCCCCTCTCTCTTAGTCTCTGTGTGAATGTCCACCTGCCTGTTTGTCTGTCTGTCTGTCTGCACGTGCGAATGTATGTATGCATGCATGATTGTATGTTTGTATGTATGTCGCAGTATGTCTGCATGTACAGTATGTTTGCATATAGAATCGTGTATGAATGTATGTAAGTAATTAGGTAACTATGTACGTACGTATACATGCCAGCCTTACAGACTTGTTCATGTACCTACCCATGGAGCATTTTGTCATGGGAATTATGCGCTAGGGGTGTCGAATGATGCCCTGGCATTCTAGTCTAGTCTTGCGTTCGTGATGAGTTTGCAAGTTGGTGCTGAAGGCATGCCACGCATGGAAGTATCTTTAAAGTAGTTGTGACTCATGTCGGAGTTCAAGGTAACTCTGCTGAATGAGTCGTTGTCTTCTGGACTCCTCGCCTGACCTTGTCGAGCGCGAGTGCCAAAAAATGTAGGCATGTATGTGTGTATGTTCGTAGGTATGTCTGTCTGTCTGTCGGGCTGGCAGTCTGTCTGTCTGTCTGTCTGTCGGTCTGTCCGTCCGTCCGTCCGTCCGTCTGTCTGTCTGTCTATGTGTGGATTTCTGCATGCATGTGTGTGTATGTGTGTATGTATCGAGAGCCTTTGTGTGTACACATGCGTGGTACACACCGGTTTTTGTCACCCACCTTCCACAGGTGTGCTCGCTGGGTGACAGAAAAGTCTGTAGAAATGGGAGTTTCAGAAAATAAGGGACCCTGGTATAGGACCGTAAGTAGTAGAATCCTGATTTTTTAGGACCCCAACATAAGGTACCCTAGTCTTCTGAAATTCCCAAATCAGAAGGTTCGCCAAAGGCTGCTGAAGCGCCTGGAGCTGGCCGAGCTTCACGCAGAGGCATCCCGGAAGGAACAGCTGGTCGCATTGAGCCTGGCGAAGTCTAAGGGGTTCGTTATGCACGGCAGCCGCAAGTATGATCATGCATTGGATGGAAGAATTTGGGATGGCAAGTGATGCGCTGGATTCTGCGAGAGGAGGTATGGCTAGCAGAATTCAGGACGTCCTTGGGTCGTGTTTTTTGATTTGCCAGGTTGCCCGGACTGCGAATCTGCGCGGGGCTTGACTTGGTCTGGTGCAGTGTTGCTCCGTCCCTCAACTTCGTTTGTTGTACGATGAATGAACCTTGTGCTGATTCAGCCGGGAACTGGCGGCCTGCTGCCTACCGATTCCATTGATCATTTATTGCTTTCTGTCCCTCCGCAGCGTTCCAAAACGTAGCCTTTCTACTCAGCTGATGCAGCCCCTTAAAGACGAACAGAGGTGCAAAGGCAGGGCTGCTGAATTTCAAAACACATCTCAACACCAACCTGTGTCTGCCAAAGACATGCACGCTGTTGCAGCACGCGCAACACGTCTCTCTAATGCCTTCAGTTCCCACCTGTGCATGTGCATGGCGGCTGACGGGTTCGGCCTCCGCTTGCTGGAAGCGGGAGAAGTTTGTGAAGAGGTTGGGGAGGACACTTTATGCATGCTTCCGGCGGTAGGCACGCTGGAGGAGCTGTGCATGCGCGGAGGATTGATAAAGAGAGCAATTGATTATGTAAGTTGGTTTGTTGCCTATACCTGTCCATCGCTTCCAAGTGTACAGACCGGTGCCGGTACGTACCTGGTTTTGTTGCGTCCCGAGACTGCTCTGCACCATTTCGCTCAACCTACCAACCTCTTCTATTCACCTACCTACCTACCTACCTCCTGCCTGCCTGCCTACCTACCTGCCTGCCTGCCTGCCTGCCTGCCTGCCTGCCTGCCTACCTACCTACCTACTACTTACCTACTACCTACCGTTCTACCTACCTACCTACCTACCTACCTACCTACCTACCTACCCACCTACCTACCTACTCCTGCCTAACTACCGACCTACCTACCTACCTACTAGCACCCTACTGCGACCTACGGACCGACTATTA